ATATATATATGTTTATTTGTATAATTGAATATCACGTAAAAAAATATTGAAAATGACTAGAAAATGAAAAGGTTTATTTTCTCACTATTTCTACAAATATTTAAGATAAGTATTTGTTACATTTTGATTTTTTTCTTAAGTAGAATTATGCTAAATAACAAATTATAATAATCGATATATTCAATGACGTTTTAGCTTCACGAGAGAGAGAGAGAGAGAGAGAGAGAGAGAGAGAGAGAGAGAAAAGCTAATTATTTTGAAAATATAAGAAGTTTATCAGTTTCTATCGTTGTGGTAATGTTGAGTAATGCATATTAGAAAATTCGATTAAGAAAATATATTAGATAATTAAATTTTAAATAAACCTTGAGTTTTCACAATGCAACAACAAAGCATTGCATCGTCACTTTCGCTTTCATCTAATTTATCCTTTATAATTTGTTTTATTACTCTTATATATATATATAAGCCTTATTTAATAATACGTTTCAGCTCTAGCTCATATAGCCTTAAGTTTTATATAAACTTATTACTGGACTGAGTATACGCGATTGCAAGAAGTGCATATCATGATAATTGTCATCGATTAAATTATTTCTTGCATACACGTTTTTATCAAGTGTGTTTTATGAACTATTGCGCTAATGATTTATGACTTTGATACTCATTTTGATAAAGACCAGGTGCGACAAATATTATACTAAATTATATAAAGTACTGGTAAACATCCTTGTAATTGTTTTTATTGCTTCATTAAACTTTTTTTTGTGGCATTTTGATCTGCTAATATATTATTAGATCATCTGTATGTGTATATGCATTTAATAATTAGCAATTAATTACACAATTACAAAATATCATAGAAACGAATAATCAGTCTATGTTACCAGTTTCTTTGATATTCAGTACGAGTTCTTGATCTTTGACATGCTTAGATCATTGATTATTCAATAATATTAAAATAAAATATTTTATCTTTCTATTGTTATAAAAAATGAAATGAGATAAAATGAAATAGAGTTTGCGCGTTATTTTAGATTTAATAGTAAAATATAATATTTTGCTCTCTTGTACCCTCTCTCTCCCTCTTTTTTTGTTTATATATATTTCCCGTTTATCTTATTTGTTTTCATAACATTAAGCAACTTCTTCAGTTGTCAGTATTTTAAATTTTTTAATATTTATTTTAATGAAACTTTTAAATGAAAACATTATGGTATAAATGTTGTTAAAAATATAAAAAAGTTTGAAATATTTAAATGTTATAACTATAAGAAGAATTTGTAAAAATTTTTCGCAAAATATCAGTATTTTATCTTTTAATTTCTCAAATTCCGCATATTTCGATTACATCAACTATGATGTTGTAATGCTTACGGTGTTCTTGCGTTATTTCGTGAGTATCCAAGAATGGTGAAGGTCTATGAACTCATAACTTATAAGATCAAGAGAGTGAGAGCAGAAGAAAATTGAGTTGAGAGTCTGTCATAATTGTAATAATTTACTACCAAGAAGCAACATATCATTTGTCTAGCTCATTGTCTAAATCTATGGTAGAATACATAAAATCAAAGACAAATTCTTATTTTTCACAGTTTTTGTAAATTTATAATTATAATCTATAATTATGTATATCAAATGTAAGGTGGGTAATCTGTTTTGCACTTAAATAACTAACGTCATTCAATGTTCAATAGCATGTAATCTTTAAAAGAAATAATATCTTTTTGTTCGTGATTTTTTTTTTGTTTGAAGTACGCAAGTCAACGATTAGAAAAAACATCAATTAATTCAGTAGAATGTAGTTAATAGGTGAATAATTGGCATGAAGCAAAGAACAAGTATGTAGCGCAGTGTAACAGCTACAGTTACATACAGGTGGGGAGAGAAACAGAAAGAGGAAGGAGGGAAAGAAAGAGAGAGAAAGATCGGCAGGTCGTTCTACAACAGTACAACTTTCAGCACGGATTACGCTGGAGCTCAGTAAGTTCACGAGCACGGAGTACGCGCGATCCATTCTCGCAAAATAGCAAACGCGTAGGACGAAACACCGCACTAATCACAGACGATCGAAGGATTAAATCGAACGTGTGAAACATCATCAACAGGTATTCGATATCATCCTCGCTCATCATTATTTTTATCGTATATTGTTATTTTAAAGCGAAACCATTGTCAATTTTCGGATGATTTTTTGTCGATCTGTGCATATACGGATAAAAAAGATTTTAGCCCGATGATTAAATTTGTTGACAAATTTTGAAATTTTTAATTAAAAGATTGGTGCATTTTAAGTGTTTATCACTTGCATTCAATTTCCATTGACGGATTAAAATAAATATCAGATTTTTTATCATTTCTTTTCAACACATTTTTTTGTATTACAATATATTAGCGATTTTTTATAATTTGAATATTACAATAATATATTTATTAAGTATTAAAATTTAAAAGTAAAAAAAACAAGCGTTATTATAACAAACATGAACATGAGTTAAATGGAACGACAACATTTTTAATCTCCTCTTATGAATATTTCTTAAATTAATTTTTATATTGTGCTATGTTATCTATATGCTTTCTATATATTGTTTAGATTTAAATAAGACTAACTATCAAGTAATTTTTATGTCCATGACACATTTTACATCTTCTCATTTTTATTTTTTAGATTTACCTTAATTTATTTTAATATATTTCAAATGTGTTAATACACACGGATATATGAATGATGATGTATCTTAATTATGTTTGATGTTTGTCCTTTTGTGAATGAGAGATTATTCATGCACGTGCGTGCCATTTTGATTTACCTACGCAAGTTTATGGTATCCTTGTTTCCTCTGTAAACTATCGTTATGCTAATGTACAAATTCTAATATGCCATGTGATGTAACGTTAAAACTGCATGCGTATTACTTATTACGTGCGTGTGTTCCGTGTGTAGTAGTGCGTGGAAATGTGCGTTTTCCTCGTTGGATGAAGACATATAGATAAGATAAAAATTCATTTTGTAGCAAGTTTTTATAAAATTATGGTATTATGTAATGTGGTTATCATAATCTTTGCAATAATGTATACCCTGATGAATTAAAAATAGGTAAATAAACTTAGAATTTATTATTAAGCGTTATACAATCAATTTTACAAATTCTTCGTAAGTAGATATTATGTAATCATTAACTATATGTATTAAAGACAAATTTATATACATTTTTTTCAGAAAATTTATAGAATTTAATAAAGTAATCAAAATACAATATTAAATCACACACACACATACACATATACACAAAGTAATCACTTTTTCTTTTCTTTTGATATTGCTAAAGATTTAAGTGGAGAATTATGTATACAAACAGTATTATTTTTGTGATGCACATAATATTTATTGCACTAAAAGTTTCATTAAGATAGATCAGTTAAATTAGAAATAAATCGATTGAAATCAGAGAAAAACTCACGTTATCTATTTCTTTAAGAAAAAAATTCATCCTATTGTGTGTATAAAATACATAGGTGTAACAATCAGGAAAACTACATTTGTATACTCGGCAAACACAGGAATGTCTTAACATATGAATTTAAAATTTAAACGCATGTCAGAGCATACATGAAAAATGCATATATATATGTTCTAATATGTGCATGGATTCATTTGTTAAGTTTTCTGTTGCAATGTGTAAAAACAAATATGATTCTTCTAATTATTATTCTTGCAATAAAAATATCAAGCATTCGTGTTAATAATACTCAAGGCTAATATAATCAACTTTGGCATTTCCCTATTCTATAAATATGGATTTTGTCAAAACAGCATCTCTCTCAATTTCGATGTAAATTGAATAATTTGTTGATTTATTCAAATTTATTTTCTTTGGGAAGTGACTCATTTAAACATATTCGAACTCGTTACGTAATAAATAACTCGTCAATAAATTAATTTGATCAAGTCAACATAGTGAGAAGTATAATTCTATTTGTGCTAAATTAAATTTACGGTGCTAAAATATAATTCTTCACTTATTATAATTATAAGTAACATAATTTTTGTTTAATTTGCGTATTTAAATTGTTTGAATAAATCCAAGGAACGCGATAACTGTATCAAGTATAGTATAACTCTATCGTTCGAAAAAACAGAATTTAGTGATAGAAATTCTGCGAGACATACTAAAATTTTATAAATCAAAATCTTTTTAGTTGATCTTTTACAATCTTTTTACTTGATTTTAATTATTTTAATAATTATGCATCTACGTTCTTTTAAACAATTTTGAATAGAAAAGAAACAATATTAATAATTCAAAACTAAATTATTGTTTTTATGTCATTCATCGCCCATTATAGACCTATCATTTCTGATTACAAAAATCTTATGATTTATGGTTATCTACATATGTAACTTTTCCTTTCGAATCAGAAAGCAATTGAGTAAGAGATGTTAAAGAGGGAGTGGCATTTTTTGCAGAGGTAATTAATATAATTATACGACTTATAACAACTTCATTTATCAACGTCCTATAATTTCGAGTAATTTGGTTTGTGCGAAAAGAGTAGGTGAAAGTGCAAGGTATAATGAGTACGAAAACGTAATGCAGATTCGATACTTTCAAGTGATGCATATTTTTAATTACACAACCGCAAATCTCGATTTTGCAATATCCAAACATATTTAAGTTTGGTTAATCCTATCTGTATTATGTCAATGTCAGCAAATATTTTCTATTCTTCCTTATTGACAATTGTGAAATGTAATAATGCAATCGTGGCAAATGTAAAATCGCTTAAACATTATTATTATATCATAATCATTATTTATGTAAAGATCACTCCAAATTTAAAAGTTTTTAAAATTAAATATATACTGATATATGTTACTACAAAATAAATATAATTAAAAGAATATATATATACATATATAATATGACTCATGGCTTTAATTTCATATTAAAAAGTGGCGTGCATGCAATGACATCTTACGAAATCTTGTGGCAAAAATTAATTTATACACTTGCTATTAATGTTATTTATGATTAAATTAATTTTGTTTGTATTTTCTTAAATAGATATATTGAAAGACATTAAAAAACTGTTGCAAATTAATTACAGATACGTAAAAAGATCTAACTATAAGTATAAATAATTAGTACATTATATATGCAAACATATGATATATATTGCAACTGCAGATATTGCAAAATTTTTTTATGGCCTTTATGGTAAAAGTAATTGCCCCAGATACTCGTGATTTCTTTATTGGCTTCGAAAAGGTTTACTGCCAAGGTTACAGATTAAATAACAAACTCTCGAGTCTCGAATATATTTAATATCGCAGTTTTAAAATCCTTTCACAAATTTTTCAGTAAAAAGTAATTGTAACATATATACTCACAAGAACAATTCGCTCGTCGATATTTATATTTACTGCTTAAAATACAAATGCATTTTTAAAATTTTGTGAAAACATCTGACGCAACGATCTTTAATAATCTTTTTACGATTTTTAAAATTTTAAAGTAACCGTCATATGTATACTTGCATATAAATCGATATTAAAAAAAAAACTTTAATGCTCGGCAGAGAGGCAAATCGGATTAAACAATTATAATTGTTTGAATATAAATAATCGGCCTATCATCGATTTTCTTTTACCATGATTCTTATTTGCGCAGAGATTAGATTAATGTAACTTTTGTCGCGGAAATTATGCGCTGCGGTAAAATAACAGACCGCCAAAACACTGAAGACAAGAAAGATGAATACGGTGAAATTGAAGCGATGTGTGTAACAATGTACAACATTTTGCGTAGTTGTGTAACAATGTAAGCGCTATAAAGATTGTATTGCAAATTGAATTTGTGCGGTTTATTCCTACATGTTTTACCGCATAGTAAAATGCACTTTCTCTTTTTTGTCTCTTTTTCTGTGTCTTGACCACAAATTTCACAATATACGATCAATTCCAGCCATGGACGAACCAAGGTCCGATATTCAATCCTTCTACAAAGACAAGACCATCTTCATTACTGGCGCTTCTGGTTTCATGGGCAAGGTCCTTGTAGAAAAGTTGCTGTACAGCTGTTCTGATCTCAACAAAATCTATGTCTTAATGCGTGCTAAGAGAGGTCGCAGTTTCGACAATCGGCTCGAAGATATATTCAAATTGCCTGTAAGACATTGCGCAAATTAAACTATCTCTTATTTTATTTTAATGCCAAGATAATATTGCAAATGTAATATTGATAATGTTGGGATATTCTAAAACATTTTTATAAATGCCATAACACATTGTATATTTGTACATTTGCATTTTCCATTCAAATTTTATTAATATTGACACAACTAATTTTTATATTAAGTTGTTAATTATATATTGATTCAGTAATGCTGTCAAGACTAAGCGATTAAGAAAGCTATGTAAATTTTCTTGACTTATTAGCTAATAGTTATGTAAAGAATACTTTACGAGTAAGAATGATTAAATAAATAACGGCTTATAAGATGCAACCTTTTTTTAGCGATTTTTCAACTTTACAGAATACATTTTTAATATTTTCTAAAAATGATACAAAATTTGTTTTTAGAGTAAAGCATGTTAACATTTTTTATATGTGTCTCTCTCTCTTTCTTGTTTTGATATTTTTTTATTATAGTTTATTATATAGGATGATTCAGAAATATTTGTACATAATTTGGGGGTAAGTTTGATAGCCCGAATAATCGAGATTATTCAAGCTAAAAAAATTTGTGTAAACAATTAATGGTAATATATGCATATGCAAGAGATTAACAAATAGTTACTGATAACTAATTTTTATAACTGATTTTTATAGTTGTTTCAAAGAATACGAACTGAAAAGCCTCAAGTTTTAAAGAAAGTAATACCGTTTAACGGTGATATATGTTCGGATAATCTGGGTCTTACTGATGAACAGTGTGAGAATCTAATAAATGAGGTAAACGTGGTATTCCATTGCGCCGCGACTCTTCGATTGGAGGCGAAATTGAAAGATGCTGTCGAAATGAATTTGGTAAGATATTATAGCCTCCATAAAGAAACCTAAATCAATGTCAATTTGGACACTTGCATTTATATTTTTTATGCGCTATTATTTATTTGTATTGGATGCATGGCTGGTGATTACAGTATCATTATTTTTAAACTCTGTATGCTCACGATACATTTTTAAATGATAAAAATACAGATAAAGATATCTATTTTTAAATGTTATGTTTTAAAAGTTTTAAATGTTAAAGCAATATAAAAATTAATAAAATTTACAAATAATAAGAGACATATCTTTTTAAGCTTAATTTTGCGCGTAATATGCTTAATGATATATCAAATACATGAGGTTTGATTTGATTTTTAAGATAGGAACAAAAAGGATACTGAACTTGGCCAAAGAAATGAAGCATCTGCGGACTTTCGTGCATCTAAGTACAGCCTTCTGTCACGTCGACCAAAAAGAATTAGGCGAATGTACCTATGATTCCCCTGATAATCCTCAGGATATCATAAGACTCGTTCAATGGCTAGACGAAGATACTATCGATCTTATTACGCCCAAGTAATTAAAAATCTGCGATTTCAATAATTAATAATATTCAGCGTAAGCGTAGTCAACAGATGCATTTTGATAAGTTATTAATTATTTATTTTTTTTTAATTATGTGAACTTTTATTAACAATTTGAAGTATTTAAAATTATTAAAAATAATAATTACATATATAAAAAAAAATTTTTTAAATATTGGTGTATAAGAATATAGTAAACAATATTAGTGTAAGTATAATATTTATAATTATTTAATGTCTGATTAACTTGCTTGAATGTAATTAAATTATCTCTCTCTTAATTTTGTACGAAAGATGTTTATGTCAGATTTTGCTTGTTTATTTTTGCAATTTTTTATAGGTTACTACATCCGCATCCAAATACGTATACATATTCCAAACGTCTGGCTGAAACGTTAGTGGCCAACGAATATCCTAATCTGCCTTGCTGCATTGCTAGACCATCGATCGGTAATTATCAGTATATATTTCATAAATTATTAAAGATTATAAAAGATAATATCTTTTGCGTACAAACAAAAAAGAATATAAAGATTAATTAATCTCATTGCAGTGATACCTTCTTACAAGGAGCCGATGCCAGGATGGGTCGACAATTTGAATGGACCTATAGGATTGCTTGTTGGTGGAGGCAAGGGTGTTATCAGATCAATGCATTGCAATGGCAATTATAATGCCGAAGTTGTACCGGTTGATGTAGCGATTAATACTTTAATCGCAATTGCGTATAAAATAGCCACTAGCCAAGAAAAGTAAGTATCTCCATCTTGCTCAATCTTGTTTTTTTGCAATAGTTCTGTGACAGTGAAATATATAATTTAAATTGAAGTGGAATTTATCATTTAATACTATGCTTGCAATATCTCTCTAGATTATTTTTTCTGTTACTAGCATTCCTTAAGATATTTTTGATTTTAGGATTATAATATTTTAGATTGTTAAAGATATCTCTCTGAATTAAAAAAAAAATCATGTTTGAATTTTTCTTATTTAATTGAAAATAAATTTATTATTGAATTTATTACAATTTTTGAATATTTAATATTATGCAATAGAAAGAGATTCAAAATTTTCATATATATTCATATATATAATTTTCATATATATTTTTCATATATATTCTGGATTGCATTCTTTGACTATTTTATATTTGCACGTTTATCCCATTTAAATAGGTAAGAAATATTAACTTTTCTTGCTAATTTTCTCTGTTTGATTTATCATTTTTATAGTTCGGAAAATATACCCGTAGTCAATATAACGCAAAGCGATATAACACGTATTACATGGGGCGAAATATTGGAGAAGGGTAGACAAATTGTTTACGAATATCCTTTCGAGGGACAAGTTTGGTATCCGGATGGTGACATACGTAGCAATAAATTTATACATAATATTTTCATCTTTTTCTTCCAAATCATTCCCGCGTACTTCATCGACTTTCTGATGCTGATATTTCGACAAAAGAGATTGTAAGTTACGTATTCTTTAATATTTTTAGACATTGTATATTCTTTTGTTGATTTTCACCTTTTAACTTTTTTTGTTTAGTTCTTCTCTGTTTTTACATGTAATTATACAATATGATGTAACTGTATACATTTTCTTAACTATTATCTTTTTTTGTTATTTTTATAAACAGTATGGTCAGAATCCAGAACCGAATTTTAAACGGCCTCGCGGTACTGCAATATTTCACCACGCGGCAATGGATATTTTATAATAAAAATCTAATTGCGTTAAACAACGAAATGTCATCAATAGATAAAGAGATATTTCCAACTATAATTTATAATGCCGACGTAATGGGGTACTTTAAACATATAGTCCTCGGCGCGCGGCAATACTGCATGAAAGAAGATTTATCCACTTTGCCAAAAGCCCGTCGTCATCAAAAAATGTGAGTATTTTTTATGCAATATTTGATTAGAAAATTTGCAGAATCTTTGTATATTAATAATATATTTTTTTGCATTTAAAAAAATATTTAATGATATAACAAAGAGGAGACTAGTAAAAGTAACTGAATGTTTGTGTGTTTGAAATTGTTTTTTATTTAAATCTATACCTTTTTCTTTAATATTACAGACACATTTTTCATTTTGTATTCCATGTTTGTTTAACTTACATATGATTACAGCTTTTGGTGCAACGATTTAATCCACTTTTCTTTAAAAAATTTGAGAAAAAATTATTAAAAAAATGTTTAAGTTATAAAATTAAATAAACTTTAAATTATAATATATTAATTAAACATTATAACAAAATTAAGAGCTTGGATTAAATCTAAATATATATTATATGAGGTCAAACTAAATTAATTTAAATTTGGGATTAATTTTTTTAGTTTCTCAGAACTTTAAAGTGATTTTTTATTTAGAATCTTTGTTAATTTTTTTTTGTTATTGTATTCTATGAGAAGAACATTTGTTTCAGGATGTATGTTATCCATGTCACGACAATATACTTGTTTTACTTCGGAGTATTATATTTTATATATAACAATGTTGAAATAGTGAGGTTTTTCCTGGATTATGTTACCGAGAAAATAAAATCGCTACCGTTTATAGGCGGATTCGTAGAAATGATGCATCATTGACAGCATTTATTCTTAAAACAAACATTCTATTACATTTGTGTTTATTGCACTATGCATATAATCTGCGGAACGTGACAAGAAGACGAGAAACGGTAGTCTCTTTAACATTTATTGCCCGACGCATCTCTTACGTATCTATATTTTTGAACTGCTTATAATTACGCGCAATGGGGCGTATGAATATGAAGGTGAAAGGGAATTTCAATATACAGGCGGTATAGAAATCTTCCGGCGACTGACAATATTAGCTGTAAGTTTAAAATGAAAACAAAGATTAGATCCTACATCGTAAGCATTTCTAAAAGAAAAAAGAATGGATCTTACTAATTAGTTTTTATTTCTTAATACAAATATAAATGTAACATAAGCATAACATAAACGTTTTTAAAAAGCTTTAATGAGTATACTAGTTTTTTAATGATATATGTAATTTTGATAGATACTATATATTACTATGTTATCCTCTCTCTCTCTCGACATATGCATATTTAGTGAAATAAAGGTCTATATATATAAACATACAATATGTAGAAAAATAAAAAAACATGTGGTGGTGTAAAGGATTTATTGTTGTTTAATGCCAACTTTTTATCATGATAAAAAACATTTATTAAAGTCTAGTGCAATATATATAATTTATCAGGTACATTATCAACCATTTAAACATGTAAATAAAAATATACATCACAGATTTTGATATCTTATATTGAAAATGCGAGATTTTATCGTTCACATTTGTTGTTTATTATTATATATTCCATATATACATATATTTATAGAGAAAAAAACTTTTAAATGTTTTTCCAAAAATAAATGACGGAAGAAATGATCAAAGAATGTATTGCGCTTCGAATTTTTTTTGTGTCGGGAATAAGAGATTGCCTAAAGTGGTTTCTTTCCATGATAAAGTATTTTGAAAGGTGCCAGATCTCTCTCTTTTTCTCTCTCAGAGAAGAGATAGTTAAGACACGTCCGTATCGAGCATGACGTAATAAAAGAATCTTCCCGTTTTCTTTATAGCTAGAGTTTCCAAGGACAAATATATTTTTATTCTCGATCGTTTAAAGACTTGGATCGATTTGATACCATCGAGTACGAGCTGCGAGCTACGAGTTCTATATCGGGGTCTAAGAATTAATTCAGTTTCTCATACGACTTTCCACGATATCTCTGACCTCATTCGACGCTTTTCTTAGAGTACAAAGGAATGTCAACTACACGCACAGAACTATTTCCGTGTAATTCATTTAGAATGTTCTGTACTCACTATACTATTACAAAGTATTTGCAGCAGTGATATCTAGTTTAAAGCTGTACGTAGTCTAATAAACGCAACTTGCTAATGTTCGAAATGCTGGCGCTTTACAGAAAGATAGAAACTTTATAACTTTTTATTTTAAATAATAAGATAATAAAATTTACATATTTTATCTCTATTAGAGCTGCATTTTTCAGAGACCTAATAGTCATATGCGTGGATTTTTTGATAAATTTAGAGTCAAAATTTTTGATAAGAAAAAATCAATTCTAAATTAATAATAGATGAAAGATAATTTGTCATATTTGAGACATTCTATCTATATAAAACAGAAGAAATAAATTTTGTATTCATGCTGTATAAAATCAAGACATTATATTGCAACTAACTCATACATTTTATTTTTTAATATCTATTGGAGCATTATGTATCTATGCGGAGCAATATTATGGAGTTAATTGTATAAAGCTACTTATATTGATAACATGATAACAAACGGTCGCCATTGTTCGTGACATGTAAAGCAAAACTTATTGTATAGTCAGCGATGTGAAGCAAATTTATGAACTTATAAGCCAACTCCATGATTAACATGTATTTTAACAAAATGCATACAGGAATGACAGAAGAGGGAAGTAGATTTGCGATAAATTTAACAGAAGTGCAATTAAAATACGAAGAAAAAAAGTATCTTTTTAGATAATTCTATTAGTTAAATATTTCCAATACTCACACGCGATTTAGACAAATAAATATTCTTTTTACTAAATTCTTATTATTATTAATTTTATTGCTACAATTAAAGTTATTATTAATATTAAAAGTATAAAAAAATGTTGGTATCTTTCAAATATTTCATCTTTATTGTATTGTAACTAATATATTGTATCACACTGCTGGGTATATAGGTCAACTTAGGTGAAATTAAATCGTGTTGCAATAAGTAGAAACGCGATATATCTAGTCGGTAATAGAGGATAAACAGATTGCTCTTTTCAGCTTATTTCAAGGTTTAAACTTTTCAGTTTTTAAATAGATTTGGATTGGATTCAACAAATTTATGGTAATACGAGTTTAAAAATTGGATCTTTATATATTTCAATATATTTTAATATTTTTAATATGCAACATGTGTAAATTTTCGTTTATATTATGTATAAATATATATTAATTTAGCCAGCAGAGTCATAAAATTCATCATCAATTTGTAATCATTTCGCAAAGTTATCCAAGATTTTTTATTAAAAAATGGAAATGAATCAAACTTGAACGGAATAGCAAGATTAAAGTTTAACAGCGAAGAAAAAGGCAAAGGTAAGGGATGAAGCAACAGTTGCTAGTTCCCCATAATATGGAGGGATGGCGCTGAGAAATCCCAGCCAACCCCCATTTTATTATTGATCCATCCTCGACATTCTCTTTGGAAAATAGGCAACAGCAGCTGCTGGTCGGTCGATGTACAACCAGATCTCATTTTTCTATCTCAATTACTCTCAATTCCCAAAAAGTATGATAAAAATTGCATTTGAAGCTACGTAGGTCTGGTGAGTCTTAAAGAGGCTGTTTAGAAATTTTATTTTCCATTTTTTAGACACACTTTCAAACAACACAATTATTTGAAGGAAGTTGTAAAGATACGTTTTTATCTTTCAAACGTTTCTTAAAAATTTTTTAACTTTGCCGTGAGTTTTTATTTGGACCTTTTGTTCTCGCCTTTTAGCCTCGCTTTTTCCCTTTCTCATGTTCTTGAAACTCTGAGTGACTGTTATATTTACCAAAACTGTTTTTATGAGCTCTTAACCGTGAGAGACTGTAATTCTTCACAAAATAATATCGTTTCATTTATCATATGTACCCAATTACGCCTCTGTTCGTGTATTGCGTGCACGCGATGTGAATATTTCCTCGACTTATTTAAGACGTTTTATATGTGCGGGAATGTAAAGTGACATTGATGCCTTGGATAAGATCTGTTGGTCAGGAATCGCGTAAGAAACCTTGAGAAAAAATCAACATAGCACCTCTCTCGACAGTAAATGCATGAAATCCATTTAAAAAACTGAATGTATTTTCATTTCAACTTTAAAAGCTTAAAAAACTGAAAGCCTGTTGCTTTAAGAAACTAAGATTTCCAGAAATTAAATATTTTAGAATCCAGAGAGACTCTCCTACGTTTTACGTCTATGAAAATTTGAACATCCAGTAGTCCAAAAGTAACAGTAATAGCCTAAAAATATTAAATATACAGAAATATTAAAAGTTCAAAATAATATGTTCCATGTGACAAGAATTGAGGATATAAATTATAGTCGCAGAAATGAGTGCAAAAAATCGTATCGAAAAAAAGTGCTAATAGTATGATCCAATTATATCCGGTGGTTCCAAATATATGCTATTTTTTCGAATTTTTACATGCTTTTCATTTAAAATTTTTATTTGATTTTTAAATAGATAATTGCGATCAAGTGAAATAATTTAAATATTTCATCTGCATTGCATAATAATTGCAAATCAAAAAATGGTTGCAAAATTATCATCAATTTTAATTTTATCAAATATTACATTCGTTCACATCATTTTATGAAATTTACATATAATTTGATATACATATAAATAGAATAACTACAGTATGAAAAATATAAACGTAAAAAACTATCGAAATTATAATTTCTAAAGAAATCTGCAATCTTTAGATTTAAATTTTGAAGATATTTCAAAATAAATTGTCGTGATACAATCTATTTAATTTTGAAAAAATAATTTTATTGAGAAAAGACATTAAATTTTTTATTGCATATGCGAATTATGATATAATCCATCTTGATAAGTATATTGTTAATATTCTTTCAATATTATTCTAACATAATTTATGATATTTTGACGTTGATTTTATACCTCCCTATCTTTTTATGATATGTGTATATTTTATATCTCTTTACCAGAACATCTTTTTATGTCTAAACGATCCACAGTTTTTCTGATAAAACTGATTGTAGTGATCCAACTGACCTTTCACATTTGAACTTTGTCGTACGGTGCGCAGAAAGCATCGTATGCTTTACAATATAATAAAACTTGCAATTATTTTCTACCTTGATTTTTTGCAGATGTGTGTGATAATTAAGTAATTGATGGAATATATGCATGATTGATTGCGACATATAGATTTCTACGTATAAATTTTTATACAGTACAAAAATATTATAATTTTAATTTAATATCTTATATATATATACAACAAAAACAGCACACTTATCTCCAACTATAAATAGATGCGATTAAAAAATTTAAAAAATATTGCATAATATAACTATAAAAATTTTAGCTTTTTTCTTAAATATTTAATAAAATATTTTTTTTCTTATGTTTTCTTTTTTTTTCTTTATGCATCACATTTACATTCTTAATAAAAATATTCTGCAAAAAATATAAAGAGTTCTGTGGATCCATTTTCTTTCAATATTACAGACAAAATGCTACATAAGATATCTCTTATCTTTGAGCTGAAATTTGAATGTTTAATTGTATTATATACGTTACGTTTATTATGTAATTAAATATTGTGTATTAGTAAATAATTATATACATTTTAAGTTCATATAATATTTCAACAATACATAAAATAAAGCGATACAGGACAAATCTCTCATTCTATATTCTATATTCTAAATTTCTGTTTTTCTGGAAAATAAATACATTAAACTTGAAGCTTAACTTTTCAAATTTTTATTTTATCTTGTATTTTTTGTAGCATATAATGTAAATATTTAAAATCGTAAAAGCGTTTAAAAAGTATCTTACATTTTGAAAACATTTTCTCGGAGACTCTTCTCTTCTTTTTTGGATATTTTAAATTTAAATACTCTTCAATCTTTAAACCCATTTTGGATTTATAATGTTAAGTTATATATGTTTATAGATACCTCTACTTCTCTAGGATACTGAAAAATCTTTCTCTGTATTTTTTATTATTCATTCTTAACCAGCGCGTTTCATTTAATAATCTATTCGCTTGTTGCTCTATTCTTCCCGGTTCCTAAGCATTTCGTATCAAGTCCGCGTGATTAATTCACACGAACGAGACAAGTGCAAGAAGTGTATGTACGTCATTCATTAATGACGTTTGGTGCTCCGTGTAATATGTAAAGCCGTGCCCGTTCCAGCGGGGATGGCGGTAGTGATGAACACCGACTACGCCAACCACCACGCACCGTTGGGGGCGCGTGCGCCGATTGTACCCCGATGAACACTCGCGAGGGTTGTTTAAAGTGCGAACTCGCTAAGGACACAGTAGTCGACGGGTCAGCCTCCAAGGGGCACGATCGCGCTTATCAACGTGACCGCAACCGCGTCGCGCTCCTTCGTCGACAAGTGACTGAAACGTGACGCGTCTCAGACCTCGCGGTTCAGGACCGCTCCTTCTCCACCTTGACCCCTGGTTGGTCGCCTCAAGCGTTTCACCTGGTTCGATATTGCACGTAGCAACGAATGGATTTCTTATTATATCGAGCCCTTGTATCCCGTGGCTCATCTCCGCGATTTGAACAGCATCTGCGAAAATGAATGGCGCGAAAACATTTGCGATGAATGGAGTTATAACCGATATCATCAGTCACGCAAGATTGATCATCGAGAATTAGACGAGAGGATTCGGTTCCTGTATTCAATAATTCCTGTAATCGCGTCTCAGCAGAGGTGCAAGGATGTCGCTCGTCGTTATCCTGAAAAATTTTCAAGGTCTTAAGTGCAAAGGCGAGAAGGTCGCGAGAATCGACTTTCGAGGTAATTAATAATTTTTGAAATTTATTAATTTGTCAACGTTTGCATAGAGTTGTTGGTCGAGAGAAATTTGTTTGACCGAATAGTTTGAATAATCATTCTAGATATGCGTTGCTATTCAGATTGAAAAAAACTGATCTGCAAAATTGATTGCATCAAATTGTTTCTTTTGTCGAAAAACTCGTTGATATTTTTTAATATTCAAAAATTAATAAATATTTGCTATCATCATTTTTTTATTTTATATAATTTTTATTTGTTTTTTTATTTATATACTTACTTATTAAAGATAAGTCTATCGATATTTCAGATCTACAGCAATTTAATTTTTCTTTTTGAAAGAAAGAAACTATACGGAAACCTGTTCTTATCTGATTCATAAATATAATTCTTCTCAATGCATTAATAAGCTATATATATCTTTGCAATTACCTTTATATTATCCAGTAAGTAATCTCGATACATTGCCGGTTCATTGCTTTGTACATTCTATGAATTAATGCATAAGACATGTGCTTGGATGCATTCCAGCGCGTATACGTCCTTTGTATACGTCTAATGCATTGTATTTGAGCTGTTGATCGCGTCGGAGATTTGTGTTTTCGTTACAGGAGTACCTTTGCGAGCAAACGATGATCTGGGTCAATCTGTCTAAATTTCAAGTTAACTGGTTGTGATTGTGCATTGTTGTGCACCGATGATTTTCCGATAATTGGCGAACGTGCGTCGATCGAAATTTTTCGATAATCAAAATACCGATACAACGAAATTGCAATACACTTTTAACGAAGCTGTTAATCTAAAGCACGTATTTTTATATATTGTTCATAAAATGTCGAAATTTAATTATAAATTTAACTTTTTCGGTATTATAGTGTGTATTATATATTATATATGTCACATATATATATATATATATATATATATATATATATATATA